CCAATCTCTTTCTGCCTCATAAAGAAAATGAAGCGCAAAAACCCTTTCTCTTAAGACAATCCGCTCATCGGCCTCCTTAAAATCTACTACACCTTCGCGGCTGCAACGGCGATCAATTATGCAACACCGCACGGATTTTCTTCGAAGATTTAATATTAATTTGTTTTAACCTTTAAGTTTTCTTAAGCTTGATGGGATCCTGGGTAAAAGTTTTTGTTTCCTAAACGGGTTACAAGTGGATATATCTTTGCGAGATAATTAATAATAAACAGAATTAAAAGAGTAGCAATAATTTGCTCTTAGAATTTATGTACCTGGAGATAATTTATAAAAAATTCAACTTAATCTAAATATATAAAAATTAATGCCACTTTTCGTTGTAATTTTATAACTCAAGAACGGGCTCACCTAGCCAAACCAAATGTTCAGGCTTTGTTCGGACTATTTATTAGATGGTTTATGTGAAGTTTGAACAAAATCGGTCGAGCGGTTCTTTATTTATCACATTTTTTGTAATAAATGAATTATTCAATAAATGGAGGATCATTTTGTTAATGGGGATTTTGCTGTCAAATTGAAACTTTTTTCAGCGTTGCAGTACCAGCATGTTGTTATGTCATTAATGTGGTCATTTCATTACTTATTTTATTTATTTATGAAAAAAGTTTACTAAGCTCGCATACGGCGCCATCTCCTATAACCGATACCAAGTTTATTTTGTATTTTGTATTTTGTATACCGCGCCATCTCTGATACCTGGAACGAAGCTCGGCATTGCAGATATAGTAGAACAATGCTGCACAGAACTATTCCACTATTCCGATCAGATAGAGTGGTGCAGAAAGAGTAGATCGAATAGAGTAGTGCAGATAGAGTAAAACAGATGGAGTAGTGCAGTGCAGATAGAGTGAAACAGGGCTGCGCTAGAGATTTTTTTTTGTTTTCTTTACATTCTTTGAACATTCCTGTGCCTGAGTTTATTTATTTGGTGGTACAATTTACAAGAATAATGCCCACAAGCTGCCTAAAAAAGGATGATGTAAAATTTTAATTTTAGGTGACTTCTGATCCAGAGAGTAAACATTAATTTTCTTCAACCAAAGCCAAATTCACCATCGAAAAAAAATGAATTTAATTCAGCTAATAGATACGTTAACACAACATTTAATAGGTATATTTAATAATTCAGAGGCGGTACGAAGTTCGCCGAGTCAGCTAGTAATCTATATGAGAAAGTTTTTTTGATCACAATATAAAAATAGCCCTATCATTTTTTACACAGTCAAGAATGCTTTAATAGGATCCTTAAAGACTCTCTTTCGTAACTTAAAGTGACTTAATTAAAAATGATTATTTACTCTTTAAACAACTTGAAAACAGACACCTTACAAAAGCGCTTTCCCTCATTACGGACGGGCTGGAAAAATTGGAAAAATAATTACCCGTTTCCAGTCAAGTGATTCTTTTAACCGCCGAGCTACAAAATTCTACCACCGCCTCCTCCACGGCGTCGTAATTTTCATTAAATATTGTTCACCGGGCTAAGGAAATGAAAAATTATCAAGACAATGGAAGGGAAGTGAAACATGGTGTAGTGCACCTCCAATTAAGATTCTTATAAGACCGGGAAAAAATGATTTGAAGGGGGAGACAGAGCTGGGTTTGGACAAATTATGATTTAATTCATTTTTAAAAATTCATTTCTTTTTTAATCTGTTTAAATAAGGTGTCTATTATTTTTAATAATGCCATTACTAAAGAATGGTGGATCGTATTATTCTAAATTTTCAATGGTGTGTAGAATGGATGAAGAGGATTTGAAATGATGAGTTGCATGAAGTCATTAGGGCACCGCTAACTTGAAAATTATTAAAGGTGAGTTTATTTTTATTAATTGTTATTTATTACAGACGTAGCAATTGAATACAATAATATATCACAAGAAAACGTGAGACATGAAAAATTCTCGAAATTCTGTTTATTTTCCTCTCGCTTCTTGTGGCTCGGGCAGAATTTTGTAAAGTCATATCCGATCTTCATGTTTTCCTTCAACTCATCTATCTTCTAATTCTGCTTTTTTTTTCACCCCTTTTTCTGTCTTCTTGTTCTCCCCCGTCCGATTTCTTAATTTTGCGAAATTTCGGAAACTAAAATAACTCTATGGATCTCGTACGTTGTTACCAGGTTGTGCATAATTTTCCTAACTTAGGAAACCTTGGATTTTGTATGATTAATAAAGTTATATACAGGGTGTCCCACTAAGGTCGGCCAGGTACGATATTATGGAGACCATAGACCTCACGTAACTTGGAAACGAATGCAGATATTGAATTACGGTTTGCGCCAAAATGTAGATATTTTTTTGCTCTTTAAGCACAGCAATGCAAAAATAATATTATGCCATTTGGATTTTTCATGAAAATTGGGAAAAACTAAATCTTGAATAAACAGCGCCCTCTAGCAGTCGCGGTGGGAACTATCGACCTCGAACGAAGTGGTGTTCTTAATAACAATGAAATTCTCTTCCAAATAAACCCAAATTGAATGAGTTTGAATGAGAGGTATGGAAGATACAATTTCTAAAAAAAAAAATTCACCAGCTTCCCCCACCCTTATTACTGAAGATACGAAAAAAAGCCTAATAACCAAACTGGCGCAAAAATTAATGAACTTTTGATTTCTTTTGTTGAAACAGTATCTTAATATAGCGATTTCTTGAGAAAAGTTGAATTTTTAGCTATATCATCGTAATTGCGCCCCCTAGCGGTCATCCTAGAAACTTGAAAATAATTTCCATCAATTTCTCTTGGCCGATTTAGTGAAGAAAAAAAAAATCCCGAAGCCGTAAAGGGCCCCATACACTACGGTGAAACGCGACGGTTTTCACCGCCGCGAGGAAACACGTCGTGCCAAAACCGAAGTGTGTGGTACAGGGCCCCATACACTACGGTGAAACACGACGGTTTTCGCCGCCGCGAGGAAACACGTCGTGTCAAAACCGAAGTTTGTGGTAGAAAACCGTCGTGTTTTTCTACCACACACTTCGGTTTTGGCACGACGTGTTTCCTCGCGGCGGTGAAAACCGTCGTGTTTCACCGTAGTGTATGGGGCCCTTAAGGTCTATGGTTTCCATAATATCGTACCTGGCCGGCCTTAGTGGGACACCTGGTATGCGGAAACTTTGACTTCCTTCTTGTGTATTTAGAATTCTGGACAACTCGAAAAATATATTGCGTATGATGAATTATATCTGATAATATAAAAGGCAAACATTGATTTAGGTTTTGATTTTCAATAAACATACTGTCATAGTTTTTAAATGTTAGGCTCAATATTGTCGTATCTAAGATAATATAGGGCATTTCCCTTTGGTTAATTAAACCCAATCGTCTTTCAAAAAAGGTTTCAGGAAAATCATTGATCACGTTACATTTAAATAACATTCCGTTGCAAGTTGAACGAATTATTGAATTATTAATTCGTACGTACAAAGAACTTAAACCCATGGAAGGTCAATGTCAACGACAGTTCACTAGTAATTATTGTAATTAGCGATGACGCGCCATGGTCGCTTGATTAATGTAAAATAATGGTTTTTGGAAGATGAAGACGTAGTCTACAGACCGAGAATGATCCGCGATAGTTAATCAGTAATAATAGTGCCCTTTAGTCCTGTGATAATTATTAGTGCTCATGTCCATAACTGATATGTATCTGTGGTTAGCTTTATTTTAATACACTTTCCTATTTTTGTACTTAGCTCTAGTTTTGTTTCTCACCCCCCATAACCCCCAGGTCCGTCAATATATCCACTCGATTGCAAACTAGAACAGTGGACCTAGCATTGGTAAGGCCTAGGGGTTTTTACTCAAAGTAGGTATGTACATCTATACAGCCATCATTAGGCCCATGCTTACCTATGGGGCTATTGTCTGGGGTCATAACGCCGAACAGACTACTATAAGCCAAAAACTAGACCACATTCAAAGAATGACATGCCTAAATATAACTGGTGCAATGGAACGACTCAATGTTCAACAAAAGCTTAACAACGCGAAGCAATTAGCAGGAAAAGAATGGTACCGGGCATTTTTGATAAGACACCCTAACATTTCTCAGCGAAGAGCACAGCAACTAAACCCAGCTCGTATACAGAAATTGAATCGTTTTATTTTTAACGATTATTTTGAGAAGTGGAAAAACCTTTTGGAGAGAACAGGCGAACAGTCCTGCGAGTATCTACAATATGGATGAAAAGGGCTGCAGGCTCATGCTACATCATCAGCAAAGGGTTCTGTCTGAGAAGGGATCTAGAAGAGTGCACTAGATAGTGAAAATGTCACAATTGTGGCGCTGCAAATGCGCTCGGCCATGTGATACGTGCAATGATATTATTCAAAGGGCAGAGATTGAAAGCTACTTTTTCTGATAGACTTCCAGCAGGGACAGTTGTGAATATGACAGAAAAATGCAGCATGACAACGGAGATATTTCTCAAATGGTTGGATCACTTCGCAAAATTTAGGTCACTTCCTCCAACAATTCTAATTTTCGATGGAGCATCCAGTAACCTTGATGTAACTATCGCTGAAAGGGCAGAAATTTTACAGATTGAGCTTTTATGCTTGCCTACCACCTACGAGCTCCAGCCGATGGTCTTCCGTTCGTTTGAATCTCATTGGGATCAGGAGTTTCTCGAGTACTGGGACCAATATCCTGAGAGAAAACTGAATAAAGAACGGTTCTCAGATGTCTCTACTCCCGTCTGGAGTAAGTGCATGACGATCTGCAACATATCTAGTGGGTTAAGAGCAACTGGGATCTATGCCTTCAACAAGCATGTGATACCGGAACACGCATTTGCTCCCAGTGTTTCTACACAACGCCACCACAATCAAAACAAAATCGGCAATGAGCTCAATATAGAAGACCACTGGGATCCAGATGATGAAATTCCATTGGCTTAGTAAATCATAAAAGTAGCAACTGTTTTTCTGAAGTGCTTATAACTCCCGATATGCAACCTGTTAAAAACAAGGCACGAAAACAAGCAATACATTTTCTAGCTCAGGAACTAAAGAGGGATATTTTTAAAGACATTTCTAAAAAAGAAACAACTACTTCGTCGAAAAAGTTAAACAAGTCACAAACCACGTCGTCACACAAGTCAAACAAACCATCAAAAGCTTCGTCAAGAAAATCAGCTGTATTGCCGACCACCAGCAAATCTGCAGCAGAAGAAGTTTGGATCTGCTCAATCTGTGATATAGATTGCGTAGCTGATATGCGATCCTGTGGAACCTGGGTGCATGAAGAATGCGTTGGTTTAACTAAAGAAGACAAAGAGAACTTTATTTGCACCAAGTGCTGTTATAGCTATCTTCATCTTATTTAATCGCATTTGGCCTTATAACTTTTTTTTTCTATTTTCTAAATGTTAGAATCTTTTTTTCAATTTTTTTTCTTTAACATTCTTGAAGAATCACCTGATAAGTTACCTTTTTTACAAGAAAAATAAAGTAAAAGAAGACGTTTATATATTTTTTATCAAAAAATAAATAATGTTCACCTGGCCTTATTATCCGATACTACCTTATAGGTAATTTTTTTTTTTGACATGATTGTTATTTTATCAGTTGAGTAATATTCAGTCAGTCAAATTATTATTATAATCTTTCTCCTTTACGGGTCCAGGACAGCAATGCCAAGATAACTTCACGGGGTACAGAAAGATGAATGCAAAATTGAGTCTCGGCAAGTTAGTGGAGTCTCCAGAAGGAAATGGAAAGTCTAACTATGTTGCATGGAGATTCAAACTGAATCTATTGCTTCGACTGTTTGAAATTGTTACTGGTGAAATACCTCAACCATTGAAGACAGACAAGGATTATGCAGTTTAGATTGAGAAGGACATAGAAGCTCAGAGCATTATTGGATTAAATGTGGACGAGAATATTGCTCTAAAAGTTACAACTTGTTCAACATCAACCAAGATGATTGAAAGACAGGAAACATTGTATGGAAGGAAAAGTCAAAAATCTGTTGACATGTTGCAACAACATTTTGTTTCGTACAAATATGATTAAACTAAAACAATGTGGAAAATTGTCTGGAAACCGCTGGACAGGCCCAAGAATTGAAAATTAATGGAGAAGATATTAAAGACAGCTGACTAATGTCTCGAATTTTGAATTGTTTGCCTACAAAATTTGATGATTTTCATGCAGCCTGGCAGTCAGTGGCTGAAAGCGACAAAACACTCATAATTTTAAGGAATCGATTGCAACAACAAAAGATACGACTACAAGGGCGGGAATCAGAGACAGTAAGTAATGCACTTGTTGGAAAAATTGATGAGTCGAACAAAAAGAACAAGGAAAAGAGAAACTTTGTTAAGAAAAATCAGCAAGGTTTCAACCAGAATAGAAATTTATCGGGTCAATCAAAGGTAAAATGTTACAAATGTGGTGGATTTGGACATTTTAAACGTGATTGTCATAACAAACCGTGTCAGGAATTTTTGGATTATTGTAAAAATAAATATAAATGCCACAATTGTCACGAAAAAGGGGATTTTTTGAAGGATTGTCTGAAAAAGTCAAGTTATGAAGGTAACAAAGTGGAATCGTTTGTCTCAGTTGCATTATCATCATCAGTATTGGAACGATTATCAAATCATTATGAATTATGGATCATGGACAGTGGTGCAACACATCATTTGACTGGAAATTTAAAATGGCTGTCAAAATATACAGTCATTGAGAACAACAATTTCAGTTGTGATTGGAGATTCTACAAAATTAGAAGGTATAGCTTTTGAAGATGTTTTTTTTTGTTCCGGAGCTCTCGTTTAATCTATCTTCAGTCACAACAGTCTTGGATAAAGGTTATACACAATCAGCAACAGCAGAAAAGTCAGTAATTATGGAACAAGGAAAACCAGTACCTATTAATAGTCAAGAGGACAGGTGGTTTATTTCACATGATGTTTCGTGTTAGCACATCAAAATATTCGTCAAGTAGAAGATGAATTGAAGAAGAATGAAATAAGCTATAATGATGACTGGAAAGATTATGTCTGTGAAGGTTGTGTGTATAGGAAACAGCACAGAACTTCTCATCAAACGAATAATGTCATAGCAAAAGCATCTTTGGACAGAGTACATAATGATCTTGGAGAAATTATTGTTTGTTCTCTCGATGGTACCAAGTATTTTCTAATTTTTAAAGATGATTATAGTCATTTTCGAACTATTTACTTCGTGAAAAGCAAAGCTGCGGCAGTGGAAAAATTAAATATTTACGTGAACCCGGTTAAAAATCAATTTGGTCGTAAAAAGTGAAAGTATTGATGGCAGATAATGTACAGAAATTGAAAATGTAAGAAGCAGAGAAATTTTTGAACGGCTTGGAATATTTAATGAGTGATCAGCAGCTTATACACCACAACAAAATGAAGCCGCACGAGCTGAAATTTACACTCATGATTTCGGTCAAGATTTATGGGCAGAATCATTAAATTATTCAGTATTTTCAATTATTCAAACTGGCAATAGTAGTATTGGTGGAAAATCTCCAGCAGAATTGTGGTTTGGTCGTCGTATTAGTCTGAAAACAATGAAAATTTTTGGTTGTGCATGGTACATGATGTTACAGGATCATCAGCGTCTGAAAATGGATAAGAAAAGCAAGAAAGGAATTTTTTTCGGATATGATAATATTGAAGAGCATGGCTAGCGTATATTTTTTCCGGATGAACGCAAAGTAGAAGTGTCATGCAATGTTTTATTTGATGGAAAGATTGGTCCAGAAAGTGGTATAAAGAAATAAATTGCAAATCGACTGAACAAATTGAACAAAAGACTGGAAGTGAGTCGGAAATAAAGTCAGGGCAAATGTCAGATTCAGGGAAGGAAGTACAAGGACAGGAGGAGAATGTTGAAAGTAATGAAAGTGATCAAGTAGAATCGATAGATGAAGATGATGTGAATTTACCAAGATATGGACTAAGAAATCGTCAGAAGATTAAATCTCATTCAAGATATGAAAACTATACTATATTGATTGAAGAAGTTGAAGATATATCAGTGAAAAATGCACTGAACGATCCTCGTTGGAAGAAAGCAATGCAAGAAGAGTTTAATTTATTGCAAGATATGAAGACATGGAAATTAATGAAATTGCCGAAAAATCGAAAAACATTAACATGCAAATGGAAATCACGAGAAAAAGCAGATAGTCGTACAAAGGCACGTCTGGTTGATCGAGGTTTTAACCAAAGTATAGGATAGATTACAACCAAACGTTTGCACCTGTGGCTCAACATGCAAGTATTAGATTACTTTTCAGTCATGCAGTGAGAAAGAATATGTTTATTCGCTCATTTGATGTAAATACAGCTTTCCTGAATGGAGACTTATCTGAAAAAATTTACATGTTACAGCCAGAAGGTTTTGATGATAAGTCTGGTAAAGTTTGTTCTCTGAAACGAAATTTATACGGTTTGAAGCCAGCATCGGAAGATCGGAACAAGAAATTTACAAAAAGCTTGGAAAAGTCAGGATTTATAGACAAAGGTGATGACCCATGTATTTTTTACAATGAAGGGAAGATAGTAATGATTGGAATATTTGTGGATGACGGAATACTGATTGGTTGTGATGAAAAGAAAATAACAAAAACTCTTGTTGGATTGAGCAGAGAATTCAAAATAAAGACCTCAATGCCGGCAGATGGAAATCTATTTTATCTTGGAATAGAGATTGAATTGATGCAGAAAGGAATATCAGTCACACAGCAGAAATACACTCTAGAAATATTGGCACGTTTTGGATTTGAAGATGCACATCCAGTTTCGACACCTATGGAACCTGGAATGCTTACAGAAGAAAATAAAATAAATGACAAAATCTTGAAAGACAAACCGTATAGAGAGGCTATAGGTTGTTTGTTATACTTGTCAACGATTTTGAGACCAGATATAAGTTAGTGATTGGAAAATGGTCGAACGAATTTTTCTATATCTAAGAGAAACGGAACATGTTGGCTAATTTTTTAATGGCGATACAAGCTTGAAAGCATATACAGATTCAGACTATGGAAGAACAGAAGCTAATATGATATCTACTAGTGTTATACTAATTGAATTTGGAGGTCCGATCGTTTGGAATGCTCAAAAACAGTTAGTAACTTCAACATCATCGGCAGAGGCTAAATATCGTGCAGCTACAAGTGGAATTCAAGAAGTCTGTTAGATTCGTCGAATAATTACAGAACTTGGAATGCAAGAGATGACTGAGCTGACTGGTTTGCTTGTTGATAATAAAGCAGCAATTGATATGATGGAAAATGCAGAAGAAGGGAAAATGCAGAAGAAGGGAAAGTCACAACGCACTGAACAAGAAAGTCTTCGAAAATTTACGTCATAAACTGCTCAAGGAGGAGTGCTGGAGAATTTAATCAGTTTCAACGTAATGATAATACAAAATGAACTAAATAGTTAGGTATATAGGTAATTTTTTTTTTTGACATGATTGTTGCCTTAGTGCTGTGGCATACCACCCTACCAAACTTAGAGATACAGATACAGATTAATATATTCAATCCTCAGATTGAAGTTGATGTAGTTGATTTGTCTCTGAGACACCTCTAGGCGTTTGCGTTTCATTTAATTTTCTTTGGTAAAATATTACTTTGCTTATTAAGAATTTTCAGAGTATTACTATTGTTTCATATCTGTTATTTCAATTTCAATCTAAGTTTTAAATTAAGTTTTTATATTCCTCGAAAATTTCCGCAATGAAAATCCCCAAAATATATAAGTAGTAGTGTTGGTCGTCTGAGCTCTACCGGGTCTTTGCGCAATTATCACACGGTTTATTGTTGTGGCTTAGGTCTAACTTCGGGCTAGAATACTTAGGCCTCTTAAGCGGTTTGATTTGACTTTGAAATTGCCGGACCCCGAGGCGGAGGCGGTCTTAAAATCTCGTGTTCCCGGAAATAAATAGCCCTTAGATAAATTAATTGTCCTTAGATGGGGGTAAATGCATTGAAGAACTTCCGTGTTTAATGGGTATGTTTTTGTTGTTTATGTCTATTCGCGTTTTAATGCAATTCCAAGTTTTATCTTTGCAAGAGTATATTTTGTGTATTTGTACTTTATCTCTTTCCACAACATAAACAAACTCTTTAATTATATTAGCGGTGCGGTATCTAGACAAACCGCCCTTATGTTAGCGACATGTGTGTGTAAACCGCAAAATTTTGTCTAGAATAAACGGCTCTACTTCAGTTACTCGTATACCTCTTCCTCCCAAATGAAACGCTGCGTGAAAGATAGATACAGTTACGAAATAGTGTTCTATATAGATTTTCTTAAATTAATTATCTTAATAG